TGGGTCAGCTGGAAGCCCTGGAGACAGTCACAGCTCTCTGACTCCTTCCTCACCACGTCCAGGACCGAGTCTACCAGTTCAGCGCCCTCCGTGTAGTGGCCCTTTACCCAGTTGTTTCCTGCACCACTCTGGCCTGCCAGAGGGAAAAGAGAATATTAGACACCAAAACAGAGAAAAGGTAGCACTAGTCTTAGAGTGGCAGGTTCTTGTCTTTTAGACACCAACTTTTTACCTAATAAAAAATCTTTCTATGCGTTAGTGACCCTCAGAAACACTGGAAATTATAATAAAGTAGAAAGCAAGTTGAGGAAGAGGATAAATTTTTAAAAACCCAACTTCTTTTAAAATTAAGAACAGAGATAAGAGCTGGCCAGTTAGCTCAGTTGGTTAGAGTGCAGCCTTATGACACCAAGGTCAAGGGTTTGGATCCCTGTACTGGCCAGTTGCCAAAGAAGAATTAAAAACAGATAATCCTATAAATACTCAGATTCAGTACAATTAAACAGGCCAGGGTGAAGACACAATGTGGTCACGAGAGAGACAGGCTCTAAGCAGTTGTCTAAACCTCTGGTCAGCAGGCATTGGCCATCGGCTCCTTGAAGTGGTTACCTGTTGTCACTAGTCCTTTGAAATTACCTGTATCCTATTAAGCCCTGTTTATCCTATTAAGGCCTGTTTGAAGTTTTTCCTGCTCTTTCTTCTTTCCCGTCAGAGACTACTCTGTAAAGGGAGGGTGAGAACAGCCGTCTGTGGACTGACATTGATCTCTGAGCTGTCCAGAGAGTGACCAGAGAAGCAACCGCCCGTGGACAGGGTGGAGTTAGGCCAGGACTCGGGGATTTCTGTGGACACAGTCTGACCTCAGCATTGGACGGGAAGAACTGTGATCTGCCTGGTTGTTAGGAAGAAGGTGAGTCATCGGGGCAAGTTCCTGCTGATCATGACTACATACCGAACACAAAGTTGTCTGGCCTGAAGATCTGGCCAAATGGTCCGGACCTGACCGAGTCCATGGTGCCTGGCTCCAGGTCCACCAGGATGGCTCGAGGTACATATTTGTTACCTGCAGGGAACAAGAGCTGACTTAGACCTGTGGTTGGCAAAGGAATCACAGGCAGGGTTGTGCTCTACGCGGCTTTCACAGCAGAATTCATTAGAATTCCAGCATCTGAGACAAAAGGGCAGAACAAGGGATTTTCTGCTTCTAAGAAAAAGGAGATACTGAGCATGCTTAGCCATGCAAACATGCAGGAGTCTTAAGGACCCATAGGAAGCATTTTCTAGCAGCTGGCATTTAAAATGAAATGCAGTAGCATTTCTTTGTCATCTGTGTGTTTCCAGGACATTCTGTCTGGCACAGTATGGAAAGCAAGGTTGCCTGGGCTAGAATGACCAGGTACTCACCAGCGGCTTCATTGTAGTACACGTTGATCCTCTCCAGCTGCAAGTCACTGTCTCCTTGGTAACTGCCGGTGGGGTCGATGCCATGCTCATCGCTGATGACCTCCCAGAACTGAAATGAAAAAAAGAATCCCATCGTGGCATGGCATCCCAAATGTCACTAAGGATGGCCTTTTCTTTTTCGCATGTCTTTGGAACAGCGGCTGTGTGGTCAGACAGTTAACGAGTCCTAGAAGAGATCAAAGAGCTGTGCAGCCCTGTCTCCTACAGCAGCTGCTGCTGAGGGGCTTGGAAATCCACAGAGCATCGCCATGTTATGGCGCTAGACTGAAAGGCTGGGAGAGGCCCTGGAGAAGGGAGGGCACAGCAGACCCCCTTCTAGGGGAAGCCAGGGATGCAGGGGGGCTCTGTCACCCGAGGCAGGGCTTGATGTCGCTGCATCCTGGCTGATGGATGGGTCCTGGCAGGACTGAGGACCAGGTGGACTCTGAGGCTGCCTGCAGGGATCCATGTCTCCTGGCACAGATCCTGGGCAGCCCTCTGACAGTGCACATTTATGCCACTGACCTACACATTGGCCTCCGGGCACTGACCACAGCAGGGAAGGGCGGGCGGGAGCCTGAGTGAAGGAGCCGTCCATCAGGAGGGTGCAGACTCCATTGTGAATTTGCAGCAAGAAAGGGGGCGGGGGAGGCAATATGTCAGTTTTGAAAGAGACCATGTCCTTGTAGAGGCGCCCACCCACACCCATGCACCATGCCAGTGCTGAGTCCCCGACTGTGGTGAGTAATGAGAGTCCCACCCAGTTCAGTCACCTGCTGCTTTGCAGAGGGGAAACAAGACCTTCATGTCATCACGTCTAGAGAGTAACTGTGTAAGGGAATTTATCTAAACACCCTTGTCTGTATAACTCTAAGGTCAAATACAAACAAATTGAGACTTAGATTAGTAGAAACAAATCAAACAGACAATTGCAATAGGGAGAAAGCTCTGGTCTCAGTAATCTGCCATCATCCAAAGTCAAACATAAAAGACTTTTCTTTAGTAAGGAGGAGTTAGCAGGGTTCCAGGAACTTTGTGGGGGGAGGAAGGCAATTGGGTGGGGTAAGCAGGTGGCTAGATCAGGTCACTTCAACAGGAAATATTTTTCTCTGTGGTCAGCAGATTCTGACACTGAGCTGCTAAGGGGGACTATGTGCACCTGAGTGCTTGGGGACAAGCCGAAATGAAGGGGCTGTCTTAGTCTATTTTGTGTTGCTTTAACAGAACACCACAGACTGGGTGATTTAAAAAGATCAGAGATTCACTTCTTACTGTTCTGTAGGCTGGGAAATCCAAGGTCAAGGGGTTGCATCTGGGGAGGGCCTTCCTGCTGCATCATAACATGACAGAGGGCACCACATGGCGAGAGGAGCGTGTGAGCTCAGGTCTCTCTTCCTCTCCTTATAAAGCCAGCAGCCTCATCATGGGGGCCCCACCCTGATGACCTTATCTAATCAACGTACGAATTTGAGGGTTAAGTTTTCAACACATTAAATTTGGGGGACACATTCACACCATAGCAGGGGTCCATTGGGAGGATAAAAGCCTGATAATGTAGCCAAACCAAAGTGGTGGGTAAGAAGGCTGGCTCGTGGCTCACTCGGTAGAGTGCGGTGCTGATAACACCAAGGCCACGGGTTTGGATCCTATATAGGGATGGCCGGTTTGCTCACTGGCTGAGCGTGGTGCTGACAAAGTGGTGGGTAAGAAGTTGGCAACTGTGAGCACTTGGCCATTCCTCCATCTTGCACACTGGCAAAATCTGTCATTAAATGCTCTGAAGGATGGAAAATTCTTCACGGTGAGGTTGAGGTTGGTTCAATTAGGTCTCAGGGGTGGGTGGGCCTTCCGCTTCTTGTTGACCCTGATGAGCTGGCTGTATTGTTTGCTGAGCATGTTGTCAGACTGACAGGTTTTAGAAAGTTTTAAAGATCAGGGATTTAAAGAAAAGTATACCTAGAAAATAATGAAAGGAATAATTGTTAAAGGGCAAATTAGAGTGTAAAGCCAAGGTTTGAGGTTTGAAGGGAGCCAGCTGAGAGGGCCCTGAGATATTGGACCTGGAGCATCTTTAAACAGAGGAAGGATGATGGTGCGATCAGGTGGATTTCCGGGTTGCAGTCTGAGTATTTTTGGTGATGGCACAGATATCAGAGAGGCACATGGAAGCACATGCATAGCAGTCACTTCTGAATGCACAGCCACAAGTGCCCTTTGGGAAGCCAGGATCATGTCCAACGCCAACAACTGTTGAGGACCATTCACTGGAGTTCCTTAGTCCTCTGGCAATGATGTTAGTGTCTCTGGTAAGATTGTTCACAGGTCTGGTTATTTCCCAAAGCAGAGCTTGGAAAATGTGGAAGTTCTGGTGAGTTTGCTGAGTGGCCCACACACAGCAGCTCCAGGCACAAAGCTTGTCCATCCATGATCTGCTGCAGCATCAAGTCTTTTCAGTTTCCTCCAATCTTCTTTTTTTTAAAAAACCCATGTGAGAATTTCTTGGTATGTTCTATGGCTTCTTAAGAATCTGATGAGGAAGGAAGGTCACAGCCTCTTTCTGGTGCTGGGATTCTGTGCCTTAGCTTGTAGATGTAATGTTTTTATAGACCTTTTGGATCATCTAGTGCCTGAAAAACTTAGATAAGTGGTAATAGAATAGTTAAGGTGAAAAAAGAAGGCAGCCTGGTTAAAGATTTTATAAGTGCTAATAAGATAAGCTAAATAACAAGATCTATTCTGACTATAAGGCATGCTTTTCTTTCTTCTGTTTAGTCCCCTCCCCATGGGAGACAATTTGTGGCTCCAAGACGTTGTCTTCACCCAAAGTTTGCACCACTCTTCTAGACCATGTCCCAAATCCTAAGGTGCCTGAATTTCCTGCTCAAACTGCCCTGAACCCACTTTTAAGGCTATATGGGCCTCTCCCCCAGTCTGTCCTCCTGAAGGTAGGCCATACCTGCAGTGTGCACCCCTAGTGAACCAAGAGGTGGTGAGGAAATGTAGAAGTTTGGATGTGTGGACTGGGACATCCACAAATGTGTGCCTAAGGCACAATAAAAACTCTGGACATCAAAGGTCACTTGAGCTTATGTGGTTAGTAATACTCCATGCATATTGTCACACATTGATATGGGAAAGTAATGTGTCCTGACTCCACTAAAAGACAACAGAAACTCCACATTTGTCACTCCCTTGAACTCCACCTTATGCATTCCTCCCTTGACTAATTTTGATCTGTATCCTTTCCTTGTAAAAAAAAAAAGTATAATTTTGAGTATAACAGCTTTCATTAAGTTCTGTGAATCCTTATAGTGAATTATCAAACCTAAGGGTGATCTTGGGGATCCTGGGTTTTGCAGTTGGTGTCAGAAATAAGGATGGTCTTGAGGACCATTCCCTCTAACTTCATAGTTGGCCCAAATGCTTCACAGTTGGTGTCAGAAGTGGGATTCACTAGACCCACTGTGACTGACTGAAATGTGGTTTGAGAATAGGAAGGATAACAGGGTGGGGGTGATGATGGAGCTGTGCTACAATAAGTTACTGGAGGCAAAAGTTACCAAAGGAATGATGGGTCCAAATGCTGAGGAGTTGGCTCACTGAATACATAACAAAATGAAAAGTAACAACAATCTAATACCATTCCTTTGGTTATTGTTATCCGTAATTGCCAAAATGAAAATAAGAGCGTATTGGGATGGATACTGAAGCTGAGCTAAACTTGAACTCAGGCTGGTCCAAACAACAACCACTAGCCTCAGTGCCACTACCAAAGGGAATAGTTAAGCTGAAACAGCAGATAATTATGATTTGCAAGAGGAGGAGGGAAAGACAGAGAAGAGAGTCGAGAGACTCATCCTAGTCCTCTGCAGGCTGATATTGATCTCTGAGCTGTGGAAAGAGTGATCAGAGACACGACTGTCTGTGGACTGGGTGGAGTTAGGCCAGGACTTGAGCCTCTCTGTGGGGTAGAAATCTTTCCGTGGTTATTAGTGGGATAAAAAAAAGCAGACATTGACGGAGTAAAAATAAAGGTCTTAATGCAGCACTCTCAGAAACTGTGTGGACTGATGGGAGCCCCAGCTGATCCCTTAACATTGAAGGGCTTTAAATAAATATGCTTTATTCGTTCTTGTTTGGAAAAATTTTAAAAGCCAGAAAGCAAAGACGGCAATGAGAAAACTGATTTGAAATCACCTGAAGCAATGGTTCCACAATCTAATCAGGGTAAGGACTAACAGAAGGACCTAGGTCCCTTGGCCCAGTCCCCAGCTGGGAACCACATGTGAGGGTAAGATGTTCAATGGGTGGAGAAGAGACGTTTCTGGAACTCTTTGACACAGGCACTGTGATTTCAAAACCTATTGAAGTCCTAGCAGGAGTGACAGATTGGGGGCCGGCCCGGTGGCGCAATGGATAGTGCCCTGCTTGGGAAGCGCGGCGGCACTCCCGCCCGAGGGTTCGGATCCCACATATGGACCGGTTCCCGCTCACTGGCTGAGCGAGGCGCGGGAGCAACGCCGAGGGTTGCAATCCTGTTGCCGGTCCCCGGTCCGGTACGGGGGCAACACTGAGGGTTGCAATCCGTTGCCGGACACAGAAAAAGACAAAAAGGAAAAAAAAAAAAAAGAAAGAAATTACTTTTACTCACCTGGAAGTAGGAAGCCTGAATTTTCCCAACCATGGCCTTTTCAAACCATCCTAACTCCCTCCACTCTTGGTCTGCTACCCTGCACACACACCCCTATACCCTCACTTAATGGCAGAGTAGTGCATTCAACTGTACATGGGTAACCCCTCTCCAAATGTGCTTTCCATCCCTTACCACCAACTTTGTCACTTTGGTTCATTAATCATCCCTTTACTGTGGTAGATTTTTATTTATTTATTTTTAAATTTATTTTTATTTTTTAATGTATTTAGTTTGTTGTATTTTATTTTTTGGCAGTTGGTTAGTAACAGAGATCAAACCCTGGTCATCAACACCGTGCTCTAACCAGCTGAGCTAGCTGGCCTGTTGAAGGGATTAAGGGAAAGTTTGCATAGGAGGTGGAGTGTTTGAACAGACTTTATGTAAGTCTGCATTTATTCAGA